TATCCTTTTATTTATATATGTAAAGCCAATCTGGTTTTAAAACTACATTCATTATTTTAAAATAGGGATTAATTTGATAATGGCAGCTTCTGGCCTATGACCTTGACTAATCTGCTTGATTGTTTCTCTGAGAGCTGACATTTCCCCAAAGGAAAGCTCAAAATTCAGTTACAGTGAATCTATGGATTACATATATTAAAATAATCTCTGCTTTCTCAGTTCTGTCAGAGCCATGTTATGCATATTGCATTGTAGTCCAATAAGAGATGGTTCTGTTGTTATAGGAAAATACCTGTCATGTGTTTTATTTCTCAGCCTTTGCTAGAGCCCTGTGTCCTTTTGACTCAGAAAGTTGTTTGGCACACCAAGGAAGAACAAGGGAGTGGAATTGTTGAGTTATGATTAGAACTGATATATGTGGCCATTGAGAATGAAAGGAATGGATATAAAAGATTCACAAGGAAACCCAGAAAAGCTTTTTATTTTGGAGACCTCAGATAAGTTATCTGGGCATTTAAATTACTATGGAAAGGAAGCAAAATAATAGAATTGTTCTGAAAATTACAACCTGTACTAACATCATGAACTTTACTGAACACAGATTTAAAAACATTGTAACTGTTAATTGCCAGTCTGTTTCTTAGTCTTAGTGTCTGGACTGTATCACACAGTCCAAGTGTAAGAATGATTTCAATAAATGTGAACTGTTGAAGGCAAAGAATACACACAGACTTACAATTGAAAAAGAAAGATTCTCATAGAGCTACTTGTTTGGAGAATATTTTGGATTTTTATTGAAACAGAGTAAGGAAGGGTCCATGACAAAAATCATGCTAGAAACCAACACAGGAGGACTTGGAGACAGGGCATCTTGTAATACCATCTTGCTGGGTTTTCCAGTGTTGTGGCAGATAAATTTTGAATTGCCAGTAACTGCTGTCTGGTTGATTGCTTGCCACTGCAGGTGATTCTGAATTGCTGTGAGGGCAGAACACCCAAAGAGACAATAGAAAATATGTTACACAGAATAACTGAAGAAAAAACCCTGACTGCTGAGAGTTTGGTAAAACTCCTCCACGCTGTGAAGATGACGTTCCCAAACTTGGACCTTCTGCTGGAGAATTTGCAGAAATTAGCCACTTTGCCCAATACCACAGGTATTAGTTAATTGTTCACTCTCTGGACTGGAGCTACTCTGACAAAATTAAAGCTTAGAATACCCTTTGGCTCCATGCTGGGACGTAAGATAACATTAGGAAATGCCACAGCAAATCAGAAAGTCACGAATCAGTGGTCTTCAGTATTTCTGGAGTGAAGATCTTAACTCCGAGAAGAGACTCTTCTCTGGTAAACTCCCTCCTGCTGCTCCCATGGTACATGGTTTATTAAATGATGGCTCTCTGAGACCGTCCAGGATCACCTGTGAAAGCTGCAGGAACAAACTCCTCACAAGGCTCAGCATTCTGACAAGTTTTGTGGACCAGTGTGAGCTGCAGAAATGCAGCTCTTCATCACCCTATTCCCACTTGTCCTGGGCCTAACCACCCTGTCCATTCAGCTGGGGGAATGAGTCTGTTTGCATTCCTCAGAAAGTCTACGTAGAGCCTATTTTCCCATCCCACAGCATTTAGAACTGAGATGGCTTTAAGAAAAAGGATACTTGGGAAATAGGAGAACTTTGAGTTTACAAAAGTAAAATATACTTTAAAAACTTGGATAATTGCAAAAATGAAAAGAAAAAATTGTAAAGTCCTACCACTCAAGTGTATCAGTATTAACATTTTGACATATATTATCAATATTAACATTTTGACATATATTATTTTTACAATGTTTAGATGCTGTGTTTTATAATACTTATAGTGTCCCCTACTTAACAGTGTAACATTTTCTCCACATTTGATAAAGCCCCCCATAATCCTGTTTTTTGAAGGCTGTGTAGTTTTCCATCATAAGGATGACTGTGAGTATTACTCATGTCCATACTTGAGGGCAGGTAAGGCACAATGGTTAATACTATTGCTGTAGTGTCAAGACAATCTGTGCTTGGAGCCTGACTCCACCATTCTGTGACCCTTAGCAAGTGACTTAACCTTTCCCAACCCTGTTTTTTCTTGAAACAGTTATGAGAGTGGTACCTATCACATACATTTTTGTGGCTCCTATGAAATAATACTTACAAAACATTTAGCACAATGCCTGGCACATAGAGGGTACTCAGTAAATGCTAGTCTTTGTGCATTTGTTTTTTGCCTTCAGATAATTTTTTAAGATTAAATTTCCAGAAGTGGATTTATTGGGTCAAAGGGAGAATAAAATTTTAAATATCTGCAAAGCTAAGGGACATGCCTGATCCTTTTGATTTTTTTTTTTCTTTCAAGTAAGTATAACTTCTTAAAAGAAAGTAGCTAACAGATGGGCTCAGAGGGCAGCTAAACAGCACTGTGGGGCAGCTTCTTGACGGGCACAGTCCTGACTTGTGGCTGCTTGTGCTTTGGATCACCACATGATCCTTTTCCTTGGGCTTCACAAACAATACCCCTTGAGTGTGTACATCTGAATCTCTTGCTTGTACAGCCTTCTCATTACCCTCCTGTTGAGCAGTCACTGGCTTCCACCACCTGGCACTGACTATCAAAGCGTTAGTGGTTTTATGACCTGAAGCACCAAGAGTCAACCAGAGGAGATCTGAACATGTGTGTGGGTGCAGCCCCAAACCAGCAGTTGGACTCTGCTTGCGCTCATCTACCTCTCCCATCTATAATGGCTTTAGTCTTTAGGGGGTTTTGTTGCATCAGACAATGTTGTTTTGGTAATATCCTTACAGTCCAGCCAAACCCTGATGATTATGGGACTGAGCTACTGAGACGATATCATGAAAACCTGTCTGAGATTTTCACAGACAACCAGATGTTGCTAAGGATGATCTCACACGTGAAGAGTATAGCCCCTGGAGAAAGAGAAGTAAGAGCACGGTGAGGTGTTGAAGAGAGGGAGGGTAAGGAGGAGAAATATTGACATACATATATGTATTTTCTACAAGTATACATACACAGCTATTTTTTTTTTTTGGTACTGGGGATCGAAATCGGATCCTTGTGCTTGTGCAGCAGGCGGCGAAACCACTGAGCTAAATCCCAGGCCCTATACACAGCTATATTGAGAAATGCTAATTAGAGAAGGAGAAATAGAAGGTAACTCATTTTTCTGAGGCAGAAAAATAAGTGGGATAGTTGTAATTTCTATGGTAAGAAGGAAAAACACTGAAAAGAGAAAATGAAGAACTTTGCCATGTATAATAGAAATGTGTCAGTTAAAAAAAAATTTTTTTTCTTTTTGGTGCTAGAAATGTGTAATCCAGAGCCTCACACATGTTAAGCAAGCACTCTACCACTGGGCTACATCTCCAACCACTCTCCCCCAAATAAATTTGATTTTAAAAAAGAAATCATGAGAGAGGAGAAGAATGTTGAAAAATTCCTACACAGAAATACATTCACTGTAACCCAATGCCTAGACTTGTAGCGCTGTAGCTGGGCCAGGTTGGAGTGTGTCTTACGTGTGTTTGTGTTACATCTTGAAGGTTATGGAGAAGCTTGTGAAACAGGGCTCTGGCTCAGGTGGTTTCAGCTCCCTGATGTCAGCAGTTCTAGAAGAGCAGACTGTCTCTGCAACAGCCATTTGGCAGCTACTTCTGGCAGCTCAGGAGACAAAGACCTGCCCATTGAACGTGGTTGTGGAAGAAATACGAAAGGAGCCTGGTGCCAGTGCTTTCTTCCGGGCAGGTAAATTGGCCTCTGCCATAGTTTTGCCTCCAGTAGAGATAATGGTCTATCTTTCAGGAAGTAGAAAAAGCTCTCGCATGGTAGTCATCCGTATCTCTGCCCTTCAGAGTAACAACGGATAGGCAACAACTACACAGGGTGAGTGTAGGTAATGATAGCATACTGTATGTTTCAGAAAGCTAGAAGGGATTTTGAATGTGTTTACAGAAGTGTTTAAAGAGATAAAAGTGCTTACCTTGATCTGACCATTACAGTGTGTACATGCATCAAAATATCACATTACCCCATAAAAATGTACAATTTTTTAAAGCAGTAAGGTCTTGCAATTTTGTTCAAGGATATAGCATTTAAAAACCTTTTTTAAAAAATTACAGTGATTACTCTAAGCTTATATTCATTATTATACTCTGATCACAGTGCTCTTTGTCATTTTCCTCACATGCAGCCCTAGATGGGAGACAGATGAAATGTATTTTCATTACGAAGAACTTCAGTGAAGAAAATGAAAGAGAAAAATGGTGTTCCTAGTTTGACTGAGTTTCCAATGTCCCTTTCTTTCAGTGACCACCTCAGAAACTGCTGCCTTAGAAATAGTCCTGAGGCATAACAAGTTGATCATAGAGGCCATCCAACAGAGGGGTGAGCTCAAGCCCTTTTCCTTGGAGGAAGAGCAGCTGGCCAGAACTTTGAAAGAGGTAGGGCAAATAAAAAGCAAACCAAATTCTGGAGAGGATTTCAGGATTGATGCCTGGGACTGCCTTCATTCCTCAGGGAAGAACCAACATCTGCTGAGTACCTGCTGTGTGCTTGGCCCTGTGTTAAGTTCTTTATAACCTTGGCTGTTTTAACCCCCCAACTCCGAATGTTGGGTGGTACCATCCCATTTTGCAGGCAGTGGAGCTCAGGCTCCCCATGATTAAGTTACAGGTCCAGTGAGCAAGATTTGAAGCCACAATTCACACCCAGTACATAACTCATACCTACATTTATTCCAATTGTCTAAACCTAGGTACATCTCAAGGGAAACCATGATTTTCTGTTCTGTAACATGTTCTGAGATGCAACGTCTCTCAGATGAAGGAAAGTAAAGCTGGTCTTATTACATGTTCTATTCTGGCTCCTTGAAGGAGCCAAGATAAACATAGATAGAACAAAGCTTTTGCCCATATGGGGCAGAAGTTAGTGCCAACACATTTTCTGTAAGGCTTCTCATAATGTGGCCACCATCCCAGAAAAACCAGGTGGGGACTGGGGGGGATTCATGGATGTCTACCCCAGGATCATGTACATCTTGAGCAGGGAAGAAGAATAAAGGTACATAAAATTAAACTATCAATTCACTAGTGTCTTTTTGATCCAGGTAGGCATGGGAAGTATGCAGAAGGGCAGGTTTCTGACCATCCACACCAGTGACAGCCCTCCCTCCGTCTGACTCTCAACTGGGAAGAAGATGACCCATGTTTCTATGGGGCTTCAGAAGCAAGACTTATGTGCTAGCCTCTCTCCAGCACACCATGTACTTCAGAGCTGGGCTTTTGCACTTGATCAGTTTTAGCCTCTTAATTAGTGTCATGTCTGCCTCCAGGGACATCAGGTTTATTTAGATAGACTTGAAAAGAGCAGAAATAAAATATCTTCCAAAGTGAAAATTCCATATGACCATCTGTGGATGGTTTCACTTTATTTTCTCAGTATGCTGACTCTCTGCTGATAGCTCTAACATTCTGAAAGAGAACGGCTTTGAAATCATATTCTTGGCCTCTTTAAAGCCCCTATTTGAACCTGCTTTAGAACGCTGAGTTTCTTTATGAAAGAAAACGATGTTTAAAAGGGTACATCTAAGTGTCTAAAAATATGAAGCCACTGATCATGCAGAATTACTTCCAGACATTGAGACAATTGTATATTATGAAAAATTATCCTGATCTTCACGACAGAACCACCACCAAATCCTATAGCTCTCCATGCTTTTAATGTGAAGATCTAGAAAAACTCTCTAGGAGACTCCTGATTGCTAAGAACATAATTTTACAGAAAATACTAATGGTTCCCTGTTCATACCTTCTTTGTATTTGGACATTTATCTTGATATGTGCTTCCTCTTTTTGTTTTATTCATTTCCCTGCCTTTGGAAAACAGGTCTATCCCATTACATGTGTTGTGAGGACAAGTATAAACTGCTTATAGATGGAACTGTCCCTTCCAGAATTAGCTTTATTTTAAGTTGAAAACCATGGGGGAAATCTGCTGATATTAACCCCATACCTTTGCCTTGTGGTATTCATTTAGATTCTGAGCATTTCCTCTGAGACAACCAGCCCTGAAGCTTCCTTGAGAGCAGTGCTGAGCAGAGCCATGGAAAAATCAGTCTCGGCCATTGCAATCTGTCACCTCCTGTGCAGTGTCCACAAATCTTTCCCAAGCCTACACCCCGTCATGCAGGAATTGGCACTTATTGGTAAGGAACCAGGGATTGGGGATCCTATTAGGCCCCCAGGCTCATTCTTTTTTGAGGAAAAGAGGCAGTAACTCATGTGAGAGGCTGTAGTACCTCAAGTTATTTATCCTTTTCATATGCTCTTGGTATCTAACACCCAGAAGATGCAGATGTAGCATGGTGCTATTTGTGTTTATGGGGAGGTAAGATGACAGTGATACTTATTCAGTTTTTTGAGGATCTCAAGTGGTCTCCAGTCTCCTCTAAGAGTATTATTAGAGAAGTTATAAAGCAAAGTAGAAACAGAATTCCCAGAGCCATGAGGTTTATCTTCTGTGCAGGTTTCCTTACTAAGGAAAATGGAGAGAAGGAAATATGGAAGGTGAGTAATAAATTTCACCTTGAAGCCAATGACAAAGAGAATGAAAAGGCTGCGGAAGATGACTGCCAGCCTGCAGAACAGAACGACCAGGGAGAGGCTGGTTCCTTGCCAGAACAACAAGAGAAAGACACTTCTGTCTCCCCAGACTCTGCCAAGAAGAGCTTTGTCTGTAAGGCCTGTGACAAGAGCTTCCATTTCTACTGCCGCCTGAAGGTGCACATGAAGCGCTGCCGGGTAGCCAAGAGCAAACAGGTGCAGTGTAAGGACTGCAGTGAGACCAAGGATTCCAAGAAAGAGCTGGAGAAGCATCAGCTGGAGGCCCATGGTACAAATGGAGACCCTGAAGTCCCCAAGAAGAAGAAGAAGAGGCTCCCAGTGACATGTGACCTCTGTGGAAGAGAATTTGCGCATGCCTCAGGTAAGATCAAGAAGGCAAAGTCATGGAGGATAATCATTGCAGGTACTGTACTCTGGGTTCTAGCCTGGCCCTTAGCTGTGTGCCATGAGAGTGGATAGGTTTAGAAAGTAGAGGAGATTCTTAAGGGGAAGGATATTTTCCAGAGAGCATTGGCTCTGAAATCAGCTACCTGAGCGTTGATTCCCCATCTGTTAAATTTCCCACCTGGTACCACTTACTTTATTCAATTGTTAGGGAAATTTAAGATAAAAGAGCTAAACTACTATAGTGCCTGATGTAGTTAGCACACCATAACTTAGAAGTTATTGTTATTCATAATAGTAATGACTAGCCATTTAAAGCTGGTTCTTAGGTTTTCCATGTACCACTTGCTGCTTGGAGTCACAGAAACTGTGAGATATATAGTCAGAATTGTTTTCCCTTGTCTGAGATGTTGGGTAAACCTAATGAAACATAAAAGTGAGTTTTGTTTGCCTATTTCTGGGTGGCTAGAGCCTCTTTAAGAGAAAGAGTGGTTTGTGCTGTGCTTCCCCTTGAGACCTGGCCTGAGATGGTGCTGTCAGGCGACCTTGCTGAGCTCCTGGCACTGACTGCTGGTCTCTTTCCTGTCCCCCTTCCCAGGCATGCAGTACCATAAACTGACAGAGCACTTTGACGAGAAGCCTTTCTCCTGTGAGGAGTGCGGGGCCAAGTTCGCAGCCAACTCCACCCTGAAGAACCACCTCCGCCTGCACACTGGGGACCGCCCCTTCATGTGCAAGCACTGCCTCATGACCTTCACCCAAGCCTCGGCCCTGGCCTACCATACCAAGAAGAAGCACTCAGAAGGTGAGTCAGAGAAGCCCTTCCTGTCTCCTGCAGACCTTTGCAGTGGGAGCTGCTGTAAACCCACTCAGTATCAGGCACAATGGACATGTCAGGGAAATTACAAACAAAACTAGAGCTCATACACACGGCCCACAATTACCAGGCCTCTGTCTGTACACAGGCATGTCAAATGCTTGCTGTGAGGGTTTCTGAGGAGAGGCTGGCCAGCATAGTATTGTGACTTTATAGTTACACAATTTACATAGCCAGGAATTCTTTGAGCTTTGATGTGTAGTTCAAGCCTGAGAAAGACCTCCTGGAGCACCTACTGTTGATCAGGCAGTGACAGATGCTGAGTGACAAACTGGAATTACGTGCTCCCATAGCTGGTGACCTGGGTTGGGAGACAGTTACGGTACAGATGAGCGGTGGTGTAATATGGAGTTATATCAGGGCTGAAGGCAAAGGGGTTCCAGCCCAGTTGGAGGGGAGGAAGTGTGTTGTCAGGGAAGGCTTCTGGAGGAGTCTAGATATAGTTTGGAGCAAACTATATGTATGGTAATTAAGAATGCCTCCATCACCTCCCCTGCATTATTACAATACCCTCCTAACTAATTCCTTGCTCTTGGCATTTCCCTCAGTACTTTTTAAACTAAAGCACCTCAGGTCACTTCTCTGCTCAAAACCCTACAGTGACTTTCATCTTACACAGTGTGAAATCTGAAGTCCTTCTGATAGCCTGCTAGGCTATCAGATTAAGTCCCCTGATTCCTCCCTGACTCTCACTCATTACTGTCCTGCTCCCTCAGTTCGTTCTGCCCATTTTAGTTTCCTTGCCAGAGCTCAGCCTTGACAGCCATTTGCTCTAGGACTTTTGTTCTTGCTGTTCCCTTTCTTGGGGCGCCTCCCTCTTCATGCTTCACTTCCTCACCTCCCTCAAGGTTTCCCTCACACCTTACCTTCTCTTCAAGTCCTCCCCACTACGTGGAGGGAATCTCAGCATCCCAGCCTGCTCCCCACATCTTTCTTCTCCATAGTGCCTGTCATGTGATGCGTGTCTATGTTACTAGTTTATAGTCTCCCCCTTTAGAGTGCAGGCTCTGTGAAGGTAGAGCTCATAGCACACACACCCCCATACACACACACTGAATTTGGGGATCTTGGCAATAGTCAGCCCTCAAATATTTGCTGATTAAAGCATTTCTTGAATGCTGTTTACAGCATGGGGACTATTATAAATACATACATGGAGTTTGCACTGCAAGGAGTAAAACAGACAGTAAATAAATGTGCAGTAGAAATCCAGAGTGTAGCCACTGCTGTGAAGAAAAATAAAACCAGATAAGCAGCAGGGAATGATAGGGTTGAGAGTAGGTGCTGTTCCTGCCATGAGCAATGCCTGTGAGAAAGGATGTTAATTTTGAAACCCAAATACAGTGGGCAGTGGACCCAATAGATGATCTAGAAGAAGAGCATCAAGTGTAGAGCCCGATCCCCAAAGTGGGAATGAGCTTTGTCTGCTTGAGAGACCACAGAAAACAAGAAGGAGCTAAAGCAGAGTCTGTGAGGGGAGTGTGTTAAGAGATGTCACCGAGGCCAAGTCCTGTGGGGTCTCATATCTAGGTAAGGACTGTTATGTGAAGAAGGTCAGTTTCAATGCTGCTTTAACAAATTGCCAGAATAGTGGCTTAAAATAACACAAACGTGTTATTTTTCCATTCTGGAAACTGGAAGTTAAAAAATGGGTCTGACAAGGCTAAAATCATGGTTGCACAGAGTTGTGTTCCTTCTGATGGAGGCACCAGAGGAGGATCTGTTCTTTGCCTTTCCTGGCCTTGAGAGGCTACCCGTAGTCCTTGGCCCATGGCAACAGCATTCCAGCCTCTGCTTCTGTCACCATGCTTCCTCTGATTCTCCTTCCCTCTGCTAGGACCCTCTGGATTCCCTTGGGCCATCTGAATAATCCTCACATGATTCTTCACTCAGTCACAGCTCTCAAGTCCTTCTGCCATGTGAGGTAGCAGTTAACAAGTTTCAGGGTTTAGGATACAAGCATCTTTGGGCCCCATTATTCTATTGACCACAGGAAACCACAGGAGGATTTTGAACAGAGGTATGATAATATGTGATTTACATTCTTAGTTAGTTCGGGCCACTATGGCCAATGACCCATTCCAGGGTGAGAGTTTAGTGCTGACACAGGCAGAAGGAGGCAGTTGTAGTGGTCCAGTCAGGAGGGTGGCATTGTCAGCTAGAGGTCTTAATGGGGGTTGACAGAGAGAGGTAACAGGACTCATGATGGATTGGATATGGGATGTGGGGGAGGAGAGGAATTATGGATGGCTGTGGGGCTTGGGGCATGAGCAGCAGAGTGAGGGGCACCTCATTGAATGAGATGGGAGGCTGTGGGGCGGGTGGCAGGAGCCTTGCTTTGATGGTGGTCCATTTGAGATGCCTGGTGGCGCTCTGAGTGGAATGGTAGAGCAGGCAGAGTTGGGAGGGTAAGTGTGGAGTTCTAGGGGATAGTGGAGCTATCAGTGTGCAGGTCAGTACAGGGCTCTGAGATGAGATCATGTAGTAAGTGAGGGTGGAGAAGGTCAAGGACTAAGCCCCTGGCTTCTCAGTCATTTCAACCCTTTACTCAAGAAACCCCTTTTTCCTAGCAAAATCTTATTTCAAACCCTAGCAAGTAAAATATGAAAATGAGGCTGATTGCTGTGGTAGAAATAGGGCCTAGGACCAAGGAGGGCTGGTCTGCAGCCTCACCTCCCTGATGGCCCTACTTCCTCCCTTAGCCCATGAGGGAACTGGGAGCCTCAGCTGGTCCAGTTTTTGTACCAGTGCCAATCCCCAGACTTGCTCTTTACCTGTTTTTCTAACAGTCTTTGGTAGTGTAGTTATTATATCCTCGTTATGTGTGTGAGAAAGTTGAGAAACCAAGGAATATGTAATAACTTTATAGCAAGTCTCTAGAAAAGGCTTTCATTCTTAAGCTGGGCATGGTGCCACTTGACTAGGCAGGAGAATCGCAAGTTCAAGCTCAGCTGCAGCAATTTAGTAAGACTCTATCTCAAAATTTTAAAATTTTAAGCAAAGCTGAGGCTCGTAGCTCAATGCAAAGGCCCTGGGCTCTATCCCCAGTGCTGCAAAAGAAGAAAAAAAGGTTTATTCTGAATCCATGTCTGACATTTGTGTGCAGTCACAAATTCATGCTGTTTACCCTGCAAGGTGATGTAAATTCATACATTTCTGGTCACAGGGATGTATCTGTTGGCCAAAGGCAGAATGAGCTCTTTCACCGTCATGGCAGCCTGATGAAGAGATGGGTACTCTTGTGTAATGAGAAGTCTGTCCCTGTCCCTCTACTCACCCTCTGTGTGATGAGCTGTGTTTATGGTCAGACCTCATCTAGTGTATTACAGATTACCTGAGATTTTAATGTCATTGCCCAGAGGACGTTTCCCTGGTGTGTTTCTTAGAATTAGATTTTGTTTGTAGAAATGCCATGTTTAGTACTGGTTCTCATAAGCTCGTGTATATTTGCAGGAAAAATGTATGCTTGCCAGTACTGTGATGCTGTGTTTGCCCAGTCCATTGAGCTGTCCCGCCATGTGAGGACCCACACCGGGGACAAACCATATGTCTGCAGGGACTGTGGCAAGGGCTTCAGGCAAGCCAATGGCCTCTCCATCCACCTGCACACCTTTCACAGTATGTACTGAATTTGTGAGTGTCAGGCGCTTGGGGCCAGGCTTGGCACTGAGAAAGCATGTAGCAGTCATAACAGAGATGGCACTCCACCAGAGCTGGGCCCCATTTAGTGTGCTCCCTTCCCCTAGTCTCCTACAAACTGCACAGTCTCTCCTTCCTATTTTAACATTCCACTGCATGCTACTGATTTCTCTCTGTCTAGGTTGTTTCCTTGTCTTCCTCTTTAGCCCACCTGGCACTTTTTGGCCTGCACAGACACAAATTATATTTGAAAGAGAGCCTCTGTAACTGACAGGCTCCCAGGGTGTTGGAATGTTTCCATTAATCCACTGAACTGTTTTCTCCCCCGCCTTCCTCCACTCTCATCCTCTATTCGCGCCTGCCTTTTGCCACAGGAGCAGGCCTGACCCTGTCTGAGTTCCTCCTACTGTCATAGTTACTGTTGTAGCTGGACATGTTCCGTTCAAAGCCTCCTGCTCCGTCTTCTCTTTCAAGTGTATTGTACAGTGGTACCTTGGTTTACAAAGTTAATTTGTTGCATGATTCTGGGGAAAATGGCCATGTTCATTCATGTTCATGCAAAAAAGATGGCCACGATCTTGTTCATCACCTGTTGCAGAGTTCACAAACAAAAACAAAATTTTGCCAAATGCTTTTGTTTGTGCAACAAATTGTTCCACAAACAAAAGCATTCATGAACCAAGGTACCACTGTATTTCCCTCAGTACAGTCTATCCCTGTCTTTCTCCCCTTCTTCTAATATACAAATATATACTTTTATTCAAAACACACTCACATACATACATGTGTGAAGGAAAAAGAAATCCTGAGGTTTTTATTGCATCATGTAGCTGGCCCCCTTGTGCTTTCCGCAAGCCTCCCTTGTTATAGCCAGCACATAGTCAGTGTAGAATAGCAGGCAGGCTGAAAGCTTGGACTTTGAAATCACACAGCCTTGGACATGAATCTTGACTCTTCCACTAACTTTTCTTGAGACCTTAAACAAATTTCTTTGCCTTTCTAAGCCTCTTAGCCCCTTCTAACCCAGAGCAAATAACACAATGCCACTACCTTAGGTTGTTGTAAGAATTAAATGGCTGTCATATGTAAGGATGAAGTTCCATGCCTGACACACAAAAGTGTGCAATAAATGCCAGATATTGTTATTAGTGATCAGAGCACCCCCGTCGGGTACCATCTGTCACCATTAGAGCTTGTCTGATTTGCAAGCCAGGTGCCTTGCATATCCTCTTTCCCCTCCCCACTCCCCCTTCTCCACTCCCCACCCATCTTCCCACATACCAGCTTCTAGCTTGGGTAAATAGTGTCTCACAACATGTGCTTTATGTAAACACGTCCATGTCTGTTGTCAGCCAGCCAACAAGGATTTTACCAGAGCTCCTGTGTGCCCAGCATGTGAGTGAACACTGGGTCATGCAGGAGGAGTACAAAGTGTGTCCTCTTCCCCCTAAGGAGTTACCAAGACTGTCCCAAAAATTCAATTACAGTAGACTTGCAGATGGGTGGGATTTGGCTTGGATCCAATGCCACAATGTTAATGTCCTCTTAACTTCTTAAGACGACATTGTGCTTTAATCTTCTTTTCCTAGTAACATCACATGAGAATCAGGAAGTGGGAAGATGTTAATTTTCAGAATGGAAAGGACCCAAGATACTTTGCCATGTCCTGGAGTACTGTGTATCATCACTCAGCCCCCTCTCTCCTCCAGGCTACACACACCCTCTCCCATTCCTTGCATTTCTGAGGGCCACATCATTGCTCACAGAAATCTCTGTTAAAAGACAGTGTGACACTGAGATTTCAAGAGGTACTATCCACAGGGAAACTAGTTAATGATACCAAATGCTGCTGCACGTCAGAATTTCTGCTTTAATCTGAGTCAGTGCACACGCAAGATTGGCTTGTGGGTTGGGCCTTTCTTGTGGGGAGCGGATTTTATTATGAAAACATTTTTCTTTCTGTTGCTTTAAGAGAAAGACCGAAGTTTTTTGCCACCCAGGTGACAAGTATATTCTCCACCAGTGCTACTTATGTTTGAGGTCACACTGAGGAGTTAGCATGTCCAATTGAACATGTGGCTCAGACCATGGGCTTGTGAATGAGGGCCATTTCCTATTACATGCTTGTGTAAGATACGAACTTAACTCTCTAAACCTTGGTTTTTCCCAGACTATAAAATAAGAATGGAACCTACTCACAGGGCTATTGGAAGGAGTAAGGGATTTACAATACACTTAGAAAGTGCCTCTATAAGGCACTCATTAAATGTCATCTATGCACAGGGTTTTATTGTTGTATCTAAAGTGAGGACCTGGCTGGGGTGTAGCTCAGTGGCGCTGTACCTGCCTGGCAAGTGCAAAGTCCTGAGTTCAATTCCCGGTACTGGAAAAAAAATAAAATGGGGAGCCAAGAAGTACTTCTCATACTGCTGATGACCAAAAAAAAAAAAAAAAAAAAAAATAGTGGTGCTAGGTATGTTGGAAATCTGTACAGAGAACTACAGAACTCAAAATGCCACTGCAAACAGGAAGGGCAAGGGTGATACCCCTTGGAAAGTGGTGAAGTAGAATTTAACATTTAGGGTATAAAATGAGGAATTAAGATGAACTCTTTGCTGTTTCATAGATGGTTAATACAGAAGGCTCAGTGCAGCCCATCTCCTAGGGTGAAGGTAGGGGGCAGTTGGCATTGCTGCACTGGTTCAGGGTCCTGGGGCCTACATGACATCTAAACAGAGACTTACATCTTGTTACACATAGCAACCATGTTTTACTAATTGCTGCCTGTGGTGTTTTTTCCCCTCTGTGCCTCTTCCTCTTGCTCATGTCCTTCTTGGAAACAGACATAGAAGATCCTTATGATTGCAAGAAATGCAGGATGAGTTTCCCCACTCTGCAGGATCACCGGAAGCATATCCATGAGGTGCATTCCAAGGAGTACCACCCCTGCCCCACCTGTGGGAAGATCTTTAGTGCTCCTTCCATGCTGGAGCGTCACATGGTGACCCATGTCGGAGGGAAGCCCTTCAGCTGTGGGATCTGCAACAAGGCTTACCAGGTGACCTCCTGTGCCACTGGAAGCTTCCCCCAGCACCTGCCCTACTCTACATTTGGCTCCCTGATGTTCATGTTTGTGACCTGCAGCTTGTCTTATCTCGTCTTCAAGAGGTGACAGTTTGATTCTTGTGACAGGCTCGGGGTGCAGCTCAGTGGTGGTATGCATGCTTAGCATGCATGAGGCCCTGGGTTTGATCCCCAGCACTCCAAAAGCTAAAAGGCAGCTTGTGATTCAGATTCTCTGAGGCGACCTGACCAGTGTTGCAGTGGGGGCTGAAACTGGAGCAGAGGATTCTTAACCTGTCTCTTAGACGTCAGTCTTGTCCTGAGCTAAATGCTGACTTTCCCTTTGGATGCTCCCACTCTGTGCTACCTGTTTTCAGGAACACGAGAGTGATAATGGGGAGCCACCCAGAATTACTTTGTTGTTTTTTTAACTCCCAGGGAAGGGCTGTGTGTATTTACCTTGGAACTTGGCATGTAATTAAAGTGAAATCCCATGTAGAACTAAAGAGAAACCCCATCTGTCAGAAATTGGCCTGGAAAGAAATGTCCTTGCTGGCATCTGTAAGGTTGAGATATAGACAGAAGCATAGCAGCTGATTTAGAAATAGAGAGCCAACATTGTGTCAGGCCTTGTGCTGTGACATTAGTGTGACACAACTGAATAAGACCTGGGCTTGATCTCTAGGACACTGAGGAATTGTATTCAGTATTCTTGGTGCTGGTCTAGAACCTGGGGCAGAGAGGGATGCTTGCTCCTGGAGCCAATTGACTCTTCCTCTAGCACATTGTTCTGCTACACCCCTGGGAATCTGGGAAGCAGTGAGACACATCTCAGTGTGAAAAACAGATGTTCCAGGCCAGAGGCCAGGCTTAATCCTGGTCCTCCTGTTTACTAACTGTGTGTTCTTGGGTAAGTCATTTAATCCCTCTGTGCCTTAGCTTCCGCCTCACTGGGAATATGCCAACGTCCCCCATCAGCTTGTGAGCAGTGAGGGCTTATGGAGGACTCAGCTCAGCCTTGCCTGAGTGGCCTCTTCATAGGTTCCCAGTTGCCTTATTCCCACAGACACCAGCCTCTCCTCACCTCCATACTCAGTGTGATGGGTAGGAGAGTGTGATTCTACATCCATGAGCTTATCTGAGAACTTTCCAAGGCCTAACATTTCCCAAATTCCTTATAGCAATTGTCTGGTTTGTGGTATCACAATCGGACCCACCACCCAGATGTATTTGCTGCTCAGAACCATCGATCATCCAAGTTCTCATCGCTTCAGTGCAGCTCCTGTGACAAAACCTTTTCCAACACCATTGAGCACAAGAGGCACATCAAAGCAGAGCATGCAGGTGAGTCTGGGGGAGCTCGGACCTGGTGTGAGGTGGTTATGGGAGGGGCTTGATGCATTAGTATCCTGGCTTCTATCCAGAAATGCTGGCTTCAGTGCTGTGGTGTGCTGTGGTGTGCTGTGGTGCTGTGGCGATTGCCTCTCTTCTGTCTCAGCATCCTGAAAGGTGCCACACCCACCCATCATAGCAGTAGCTTGGGTGGCAACGATTCTCACTCCTGGAAACCTAGAGCAGTGTGAGCTCCTGCCAGCCCCTGAGTAAGACCCAGTCACGGTTGTGTGGGAAGGTGTCAGCTTTGGTGGCAGACTTGCCCAGCAAGAAATCCTGACTCCAGCACTTACCAGCTGCATGACCTTGGCAAGTGACTTCTCTTTTCTGAGCCCATTTCCTTCTCAGAATGGGAGTTATTAATACCTGCCTTGCAGATAAATTTGGGCATAATCACAACAGCTGTCAGTATAGAGCATTTCCTGTGTGCAGGGCACCAGCCAAGCACTCCATGTGTATTTCCTCATTTAATCTCACAACCCTCTTTGCATCCAGACAGTCTGGACCAGATGAGTGTTCTTCACTACCGATTTACACGAACCTCCCTGAGGTGTGAGGTCACACACGTGGTAGATGGCATGGGCAGTGTCGGTCCTCACCCACCCCAGCTCTGTTCCTCACAAGTCTCAGAGGAGCCATCTTTTTTCCGTTCCCATCACTTCTTTCCTCTGTACTTCACAGATCTAAAGTTCCACGAATGTGAGCAGTGTAAGGAGCTCTTCCCCACTCCAGCTCTGCTGCAGGTTCACATCAAGTGCCAGCATTCAGGTCAGTGTCCCTTCTGGATGCTCTGGGCCAGACTGTCTGGCTGTGAGTCTTGTCTCCACCACTCACTCCTGTGCAACCCCGGTTAAGTCACTTACCTCAGTTTCCTTACCTAGAAAGTGGGAGCAATTGTAGTATCTACCTTATAGGGTAACTGAAGTATGATAGCCTTGTGCCAGTAAGTATCCCTTAAGTATTAGCCATGGTTGTCATTGTTGCTTATTTCATCAAATCTAAAATGCCAGTATAAAGTGCACCTTTTTGTTTGTTTTTTTGAGACAGGGTCTCACTGAGTCCCTAGATTGCTCAGCCTGAGCTTTAATGTGAAATCCTGCCTCAGCCTCCTACTTCCCACGTAAGATGCACCATTTTTTGTTTTTGTTTTTGGTACCGGGGATTGAACTCAGGTCCATGCACTTGCACAGCAGGCAGCGAAACCACTGAGCTAGATCCCTGGCCCCAAGATGCACCATTTTTAATGAGCATTAAAAAAGAAAAAATACTACCAATTAAACACCTTTTTATCACTTAGATTTTGTAGTTTACCCTAAATATTATTTTAGTCTTAATCTGACATAGATTTGAGGTCACTCACTCATAAGGGCAAAGAAAAACATAAGAAATAAATTGATTGAGAGAAGGATCCAGCTTCTCAGAGTGACTCTGGATTCCACTTGTGACTTGTGGACACGTGTGTCTCTCTACCCAGTGTTTACCCTGCCATCAGAGCACTGGAGTTAGAGCACAGAGCTGAAGGCCATTGGCTTTGGTCTCTGAACGTTATATAAACCCAGACTGCTTTGATTCCTGGTTTAGGAATGTACCTAACTCTTCATCACTTACCTCCTCCTTCCTAGAACATTTGTTTCCTATGAATTAAAAGTGCACCCTCCAGTGTTAGGGATTTTATTCCAGCCCGCAGACACTTGTCCTGTAAGTCTGGATGTTTGTGCACATGCAGGTGCTGCAGTGGCACCTGACTGCCGCCTGGTGCACAGCAGATAGAGGTGCTGTTTGTCCCGCCTGGAGATCTGAAAGTGTACTCCTTACAACAATGAAAGATGGTATCATTGGCACCATTGCCCACTGCTAAATGGATAATGAGCTTCAGCCAGAGCAAATTTAGCCTAAATCTAATGCTAAGGAAACTGGACTTTGAGAGCCTCTTACTTGAAGGGGTCACTTCAAGGCTTTGCATCTAGTTCTGTATCTGTCATTTATTCTGTATTTGTGTTTTGAAGGCCCCTCCAAATGGTACCAGCTTCATATCCCCCAAAACCCAGCTGTGCCTTTCCATCACAGTCCTCACACTCCTTGCTCTCACATTTCCCTACTGTGTCAGTCATTCCACCTGCAGCCCATCTCTTCTGCCTCCCCTCCTCCAGGGTCCCAGCCATTCAGGTGCTTGTACTGTGCAGCCACTTTCCGCTTCCCTGGAGCATTGCAGCACCACGTCACCACGGAGCACTTTAAGCAGTCAGAGAGCACCTTCCCCTGTGAGCTCTGTGGGGAGCTCTTCACTTCCCAGGCTCAGCTGGATGGCCACCTGGAGTCTGAGCACCCAAAGGTGACGGGGACTGAAACCCAGGAAGCCACCTCCCAGATGGTGCAGGTAATTCTGGGGCCCGCAGGGACACAGATTGCAGTCACGGGGTTCCTAGGGCTTCGGTGGAGGTGCCTCTGTCCCACCATTCAATCTTATTCCCCGGGGCTCTTTCAGGCTCTGTGAGTAATACGTCCATGACCTTAAGTGCTTCTGGACCTCTTACCAAACAGAACAGAAAATTCTAGTCTCCCAGTGGCCCCTAAGGCAGACAGAATTTCCAAAAGTAGAAGAACCTTTGTTTTTCCTCCCATTCACAAATTTCCTGCCTTCTGAGAGATTCCTTGAAATGTGTGAGGTGTGCAGGAGACCTTAAAAGAGGGGTGGCCAAGCTCTTTGTTAGGCAGGGACCACTGCAGGTGAAGCCCACAGGTGGCTCCCCTGGCTGGACATGGCCATATTTGTACACATCTGGGCCTCTCCTTACCTGCTGAGAAGCCCATCTCTTTGCATTGTTTTGAGTCTAAGCTTGACCCAGTCTCTGTGTTTCCCTGGTCTTCTCTTACTCTTCCTCCTGATCTATAGAGAGGGTACCAGAAAAGATAAACTGAGCTCAGCCAAGTTTTAGTGACCTGTAGATGGGTTGGAGAGGAACTGTAAGTGGAGGCTTTAATCTGTTGGACTGTCCCACTGCTCAGTCACATGTAGAGCCCCGGAGGACAGAGGGCAGGTCAGGTGGGCAGGACTCAGGTGACACTCCTGTTGTCACATTACCAGAGCCTCTCTGCTTTCATTTTTTTTATATTAGAGTTCTTGGTGAGATGTCTTGCATGGGGGGCTCCAATCCTAAAATAAAGAAAACCTGTTTGAAAACTATGATGTTAGATAACTGTTGATTAAATATCACAGTTGCTGTCTTCACTCCGTACCAGAGAAGTAGCTGAGCTTGCCTTCCACACTTGTGTGCTTGTTCTCCTCTCTTGGCTGGTTCTCAAGAGCAGGTGGCTGTGCCCTCTGGGAGCTCACTGGTGTAAAAATATCAAGAACATCAAGCTGTGCTAGGGTCCACAGGTCAGAGCATCAACTTGGAGGTTCAGGAAGGAACTGGGTGTGCTTAGCCACGGAAGAGTTCTCCCAGAGCCAGGAAGGCTGCTTTCAGCAGATCGTGCAGCTCTGGGAGGGTTATGTGTGACCTGAGGAGAGGGGGAGCCTGCCCTATCGGCCTCCTGAGCTGAATGAATGAGCTTGTCTTCCTCTGAGACTGAAGCTGTGCTGCCCCAAGAAGGCTCTCAGCCCCACAGGGGCCCGGGGATGCCACCCCTGGCAGGCCTGGCTTCTGTAAATCACCCCATTTCCGTGTTTCGGGCACAAGACCACCCGCCTACAGTGGCATTGCTCTCACATGGCACTTAGCCCTGCAGTATCATCCTCAAGACAGGAAAACCCAGTGTGAGAAACTGAGCCAGTGTTCACTGGTGTGTAATCATACAGTCTGGGCACCCCGAGATGGCATACTAAGCAAAATTATAGCAATTTAGTACATGGAGTTAAATTGTTTGCTTGCCTTCTCTTTTGCATCACTGGTGTGTTAGACTTGCCTCTTCCCATTAGGCACAAGTAATTGTTCTCCTCAGGTGAAAATACAAATATCATCATTACAGCATGAGACGGAAGCCATGTAAATTCTGGGGTGCATACTGTGGACACTGCCCAGAGCAGCCCCCTGCTCTTTCCTTTTCAGGTGATCCAGACTTCAGAGCCGGCAGCCCCGACTGAGCAGGTGATCACCCTGGAGGAGACCCAGCTTGCTGGGTCGCAGGTGTTTGTGACTTTGCCAGACTCTCAGACATCTCAGGCCAGCTCTGAGCTCGTGGCGGTGACTGTGGAGGATCTGCTGGATGGTACTGTGACCCTGATCTGTGGTGAGGCCAAGTGAGTGTCAAGGCTGCTCACTGGCAAAGGACTGCATTTGCTTCAGAGAGGAAGCTCCGAATCCTGGCCTTTGCCCTTCCCTGCTGACCCGAGTGGTGAGCGTCTTAGCCTAGCACCAACCCAAATGGCCTCACTCGAAGGACAGACAGAATCTCCACTGCTCTCATACCCAGTGTCTGCGTCATGGATGCCTATGCTCTGTCCCTCATAACCAACAGCCTCCTTCCCCCAGGCTATTGTTCAGACCTCCCTGACCCCACCTCTGAAACAGTCTGAAAGAGCGGTGGGATGGGAGCTGAGGGTCAGGGAAGTGTGACACGTCAGCAGCTCTCAGAGGACAGAAAGGCACTTAGGTGGGGACTGAGCGCACAGAGTAGACTGCAGACCTGCCTGTCCCTCTGGCCATTTGAAAGTGAAAGGGAAGCACAGCAGACTCCGTGGAGACCCCGGCCTGAAACACACTTGCGCTTCCTCTTCACTTTTCCCAGCCTCCCCTCTGCTCAGCTCCATCTACTTTCTGGGGCTGTGCTTGCACCAGGCAGTAGGGTGGCAGTGTTAATAACGCCATTTCCATGCCAGGTCCCACCTAGTCTGTAGAGTCAGCCCTTCCTGAAATAGAGCCTTTGGTGTGTTTCTCCTGGGAGTGTTTCATCCCAAGCCATCCAGCAACAGATGGTCTCTGCCTTCTGGGATGTTCCTCATGGCATTCCCTGAAGGTTGCATCTCACAATGTTTCCATGTTCTCCTCATCTTCTTCCTCTAATCAAAGGTTAATACTTCTGCCCACCCTGACTGCCTCCCTCGCTTCCTCTGGAGTTGATGATGTTCCTAATGAACCTGCAGCTGGCAGGCCACTCTGTGCCTGCACAAACAAGAGCAGCAGGCTGCCCCTAGCTCTGCTCCTGCCACCAGGCCAGGCCGCTTGCCTTGTGCGCAGCCAGCTGTATGAGCTCTCCTAGGCTACATGCTTATTGCAGGTCAGTGATCCTTTGGAGTCTGAATTTCACAAAGCCTTTTATCTTTAGTTCCTAAAACATAATCTGGTAATTAATGGTTTGTGGAATCCATTATGAAGTGCAATTAGATGGATGTTGGTTCCTGCCGTTTAGAAAGAATGACTAGCATTTATCTTTTCCTTGATGCCCAAAGGTTGGAGTAGGCTAGTGCACTGTTTATACAGCAGGCAGGGCCCCCTGCTTCTTAGTGTGGCTTGACCCCTTGTGGAGAGGGTGTCCAGTTTGATCACTCACCCTCATGCTGCACACTGCCAGAGAGATAAGCCCACCCCTTTTTCCAGTCAGGTGTGCCCCACCCACCACGGCTGTGAGGTACATCACCATGTGATGCACATGGGGTTGAGGTGGTCATAGGTGGAGCTTTTATTGCTGCACACAGGCACACAGGCAGGTGGGCACAGCTAAAAGCGCAGAGGTAGAGCCTTGGTTCTGACCAGTATTTTCAGGGGCTGGCTATTGTCTTCACTGGCATTGGCTTTGTGGAGGCAATCCTGGCAACAGTGAGTTCCAGCCCAGGCCAGCTCGCCCCAGCCAACTCCTCCCACCTCCCATCCTCCTTTTTCTGATATCTAAATCAGTTGAGCTTGTCAGTTCTGGGATCTTCCCATCCCGAAGGGTAAGGGAAGTCTTTAAAGGAGAGGTGGCCTCAGGAGCCAAATACTGACCAGAAGATGGTGCTCAAACCTTAAGATGTCTCCCTGGGCAGACCGTGCTGTTTCTACCAAGTCTGCCCTCATCCTAAGGTTTTTCAGTCCCCATGGTTGGCAGATCAGGGAGCTCTTGATCTGCAAGTGGCAAAATGGCACAGACTCTCCTCTTGGCAGATGAACCCCCTTAAAGACAGTGGAGTGGCACAGGCTACCAGGCCTTGGTGCCAGGCCCAGCAGGTCAGAGTGCAGCACCTCATAAGCCGTAGGATGGTGGAATTGCACTGAGTGGCATCAGAACTTCTGCCTGCCAAAAGGCAAGATAGTAACACATCAAGTGCCTAGGGCTTGTAGCAGAAAGTTGTTTCTTCTTAAGTCTTCGAATAAAAGCTGTAAGTTTTAAACCCAAGTGTCAGATCCTTTCCAGCACTAAGAAACACTTTGGATGAGGACCCAGATGGTGGCCAGTCATTCTTTTTCTTCAGAATCGCTGGACTCCCTGTGCTGAAAGCAGAGAAGTGGGACCAGCTGCCAGGCCACCAGATGCACTCTTCTCTGCACCCTGGGCACAGAGCAGCACAGACCAGTGCTCCTGGCTTTGGGCAGGGTTCAGCGAGGGCCCATGCTGGGCCAGCACTGGCTGAGTGGACCTCTTCACTGGCTGACTGGGATTCCACAGTGCTGCTCTCTGGAGAAGATGTGGATTTTATTGAAGGAAGACTTTTTCAGCTCTTCCCCCTTCTGCCCAAGAGACTTCTGCTGCCATGGAGCACATTGCTATCAGGTCTCCTTTGTCCACACTGCTTGCTCTCACTTGCTCTCATGGCACCCATGTTCCCTTTGGCTCATGTCATTGTTGGAGGAGTCACCAGGCTTCTTGGAGTGTGTGAATTTGTTCAGGGCTACCCCAAGCTGCCTCTGCTCCCAAAGCTCAGGATCAGGTTGATGAGGGGGGAAACACAGAGTCCAAACTGGAGTCTGACCGTAGGAATAGTGGGGCCAGTTAGGGAACAAGATCTGCGCATCACAAGTAAGTGAGACTGCATATGGGTGATAGAAGAGTGGGGCTTACCACAGACAGACAAGACTCCTGCTCTCCAAATACAGGAGCAGAACCTGGACCACCAGGGCAGCAACAAGGCAAGGATCAAGGTCTCCCTCGATTCTTTGTGTAAAGCCTGCCTCCTCTGTCTCGGCAGCTCTGCATTTGGAAAATGTCCCCCTGAAGAAGCCACTGACTTGTGGCTGATCTCAGAGGCACCTCAGCTGCATCCCTCGGGCAAGGGATGGAGGAGACAGGGTCTCTGTTCCCTACTCTTGGGCCCAAATAGTCAGATTCTCAGAATCAGGGAAAGGTCAGGGGGTCCCTAAAAGTTCCTTCTCACCCCAGGGGCTCATGACATACTGGAGGTGAGAGGGTGTGCCTTTAAAATCACGTGTGCCTGAGCCCCATACTGGTGAAGGGCAGGAGGGACCTGCTAGCCTTACCAGAGTGGACAGGTGGTCCTAGGATCAAGCAGCACACCTGTTAAATTGGGACTAGAAAGGTGGACAGTGACGGAGAAGAGGCTGTAGTGCTTTAGGTCTCCCAAGAAGAAGGTTCAACAGCATGATTCAGTGCACCCCAGAAATCCCTGGGAGATAGGAAGAAAATGGGAATAAAGGAAAGACTTGGGGTTGAAGGGAGCCAAGTTCATTGTTTGTTGCCATAGAAACTTTGGGGCTGGCAGAACTTGGGCCAACAGCTCAGCAGCACAGCTGAAACTCAGAAACTTGCTACACCTGAAACTCTACCTGGAAAGACGATGTCAGTACTTTGGGGGCTGAATTGTTGAGGGGAATAAAGTCATTCTCTGGGCTAATTTAGATTGCCTCCAAATTGTGGAAATGGTCATGCTTTCCTTTAGCAAGACCAGTCACACCTGTTTCCATCACGGTCAGGACATGCAGCCCCCATGTGATGCTGGATAAGTTGGGTTACAAACTGTTACTCATGTTTAATGTATGGGAATACATATAAATAAAATACATACTTGGAAAAAATTATGCTGCCTGAGTTTCAGGTGGACTGTGGTGTCCCAGGCCTGTTTTTTGTTTGGTTCTGGGTAGCTGTCAGATGGGCACAGGCGTGAAGGCCCGGGTTCCTAGGGACTTCCATGTGCTTTCATGTTAGTATGGCCCAGGGGACTCTCCTGTCTTTCAGAGTCTCATTTGAGGGTCATGTTTCAGAGCACAGGCTTTGGTGTCCCTCCTGATAAATCCCTGCATGCCACTGTGTGATCTTGGTGAGTATTGTTTGACTTCCCTCCTCCTGGTTCCCAGCAGTCTCACTTCATACGATGCAGGACAAAGTGAAAGACAGGATTTAATGAATTTAGTGTAAAAATTTTAGTTTTTAATAAAGTTTTTTACAGACCAGTCAACCATTCCCTGCATTTTCTGGCACTCTATGTGTTTTCTTCTTCCTCTGAATCCTTAGGGATCCTTAAAACACACACCATTTTTCATTTATCTCTTGAATCTCAGGTACCCCCAAAGCACCAATGGTGAGCAGATAGCCATAAAATAAGCAGAAATCTTTCCCAGTGAACAGCTGAAAATGTCACGTTGCTGACGGCCAACAAGGAGACCAGAGGGAGAAGCACAGGTAGGAGGTGCAGGCTGCCTGCAGGAACTGACCAGCCTGAGGTGACGGGGGGCCACTGAGTCCTGCAGCCCTGGAAGTTCAGCTCAGTGTGGGCCTGGGAGGCTCTGCCCATTCCCCTTCCCCTGGGACCCTCCTGGTACAGAGCCACAGGCACCTTCATGAGGGCATACCCCACCACACCCCCTCCCTATTGTGTCTTCAGAGTCTGTGGTTGCACACATTGTATATGGAGCAGTGGTGCTGAGTGTGTCCTGGGCAGCCAGGAGGGTAACTAATACCAGCATCCCAGCTAGGGAGGGGAGCGTGCAGAGGGGAGCACTGCCAACCATCAGCCAGCTTCGCAGGTTTGCTGGAGAGTCGGTCATCCTCACCTGGACCTGGGTGGCTGGCTGGGAGAGGCCATGCCATAGTGGGAAGGGTTGGACTTGAGAGCTTCCCAGCCCCACCTGTTACTAAATGGATGACCTTGGAATGACCATGAGGAGAGAAGTTAGTAACATTTTTTTAGTTCCTGACAATATAGTGGCTTCCTAAATGATGAAGTCTATGACTTAAAGGGCCTGGGGGATGTCAGGGCAGACAAGCTAGAGAGGAGAAGTGAGGTTGTGCTTTATGGGTTGCACTGAAGTGAACCCAGACCCTGCCCAGACCAGGGTAGACAGGGACAAAAGGGAGACCGGTTCTTCCAGGGCTAGTGCTCGGTACCCTTGGGCATCACAGCTGAGGGGTCACATCTAAGGGAAAGCACAGCCTCTGTGAGCACATCAGCAAGAGCAAGGGGAAAGGAAATGTGTGTGTAGTGCTGTCTGGCCTTCTTGTGTGTGTGTGTATGCATGTGTCCATGCATGTAGGCAGTACTGGGAATAGAGTCAGGGTCTTTACTCTGAGCTACACCCACAGCCCCTTTTTTTTTTTTTTTTTTTGAGATAGGATCTTGCTAAGTTCCCCAAGCTAGCCTCCAACTTGTTACTCTTCTGCCTCAGCCTCCCAAGTAGCTGGGATGACAGCTATGTGCCACCATGCCAGTTCTCCTTGCCTATCTAGTTTAGTGTTCATTTTCATCTTGCCCTCCACAAGCTTATACTCAAAAATATGTTCGGGATGAAAAAGAAAAGTAGCTTATGGCTCCACATGGTCTTGTCCTAGTCTAAGAACCTTCACTTTCTTGAGAAATATCCCAGGACTTGGGGTTTCCCTGAGAAGGGTACATCTAGGACAGGGGCATACAAACCAAGCCCTTTTTCTCCTCAGGAATGCTGTTGGGACTTCTTCCCATGCATCTGTCACTGTGCTAGTGGAGCGTCCGTCCCATACCCACTGTGTGTCCACATTTGTGCCTCTCTGCAGACTTGGTCCCAGCAGTGTACTCCATGGGTGCATAGTAGCTGTTGCCTGCTGTTGGGCTCTGGAGGACTCTGACCCCATTCTCACAGTTTTTTGGGGGAGGGGAGCTACCCCTCAGTCCTGTGTGAGCTGTTTCCCACCAGTAGTGGATACACTGTCAATTCTCTCCACTCCTGGGGTGGATTCTTCTGAATGCCTTGAGGACAGGGACCACACCTACTGACTTCATTTCTCCCACATTGGCCACCTAGAGGGGACCAGCAGTTAGGCTTGCCCCTCTCTCCACTCAGGGAGAACCCCGTTTCCACATCTCGCTCCTGTCAGTGATGCTGTGCTCCAGCCCTCTGGCCCAGTCTATCAGAACATCCTCTTCTCCTTGTCCTCTAAGAAGAGATTAGCAGAAGGCTAAGAGCAGCTATCAGCCTGGGCTCCTCAGCTGCCCTGATCAAACACTACCCCTGCCACTTCTCTTTCACCAGTTCCCCCAAGGCAGGCCACAGATGGCTGATCAAACATATGCACAAGGTCAGTCTGGGGGCCCAGGGCCCCTCCAGGGGAGATTTCACAGCCCTGCCATCAGGAAAGCCTGATAAAGTGGGGAGGGGGGAGGGGGTGCCCTGTGGGGCTGCCATAGGACCGAACAGCCTTTTATTCCACTTAAGGTGGAAGCCTCAGCAAAGCCAGCTTTCCAGAAGGCCAGTGCCAGGGCCCTCTCAGAGCCCAGGGACTGCAGCTGAGGAAAAGGGTGCCTGCACTTGCTCCTGTGCGTGTGGGGGTAAGAGAGACATCAAGTAGGGGCACAGGTGGGCTGGGGAGCATGGGATTATTAGATTGTCACAGCATGACTTAAGATCCTCCCTCACTGGCTGTGACCCCTTCAAGGGCAAAGCCAGTGAATTATCCTGTTCACACACACAGACAGTGAGCCTGGCACATCAGGTGTCTGATTGCACAGGGCTGTGGAGACCTGAAGTTCAGGGAGTCCGCGGGCTCCTGTCATGTGCTTGGTCCCATGCCAGACACTGGAAGGTTGGATGGACCTGGCAACAGTAGCACACAGCTCCTGTGCCCAGGCAGCTCACAGCTAGTGAGACAGGCGAGGGTTACATGTGAGAAATGAGTAGAACACCCACACTGGTCTAGACCAGACCCAGTGCTCATGGTGCCTACAAGTGTTGGGGGATTTTATTTGTTCTGTCTTGTGGGGAGTAATACTTTTAGAAATATTCTCATGCTATTTTCTGTTATTAAGTGATTACCACACATTGGACACTGGACTAAGACCTTTATGTAATTCTTACTCCATTAAGTCATAGCATCAACACTGATGTTGATGCCCTTAGCATCCCTGAGTGACAGGCGAGGAGATGAATGCCAGAGAAGTGATGTCACTGCATAGCCAAGAAGAGCACA